GAGGATGAGTTTAAGGCTGTCTTGGGCTACATAGTGAGACCCTGACTCAAAATAGAAAGAAAGAAAGAGAGGGGGGGAGGGAGAGAGGGAGGGAGAGAGAAGGGAGGGAGGGAGGGAAGGAAGGAAATAGGATGCAGGATTGGAGGTAAGGAGGAGCAGAGAAGAAGAAAAATGAGGAAAAAATAGAGCAATGGAGAAACAGTACAGAGACCACAGCTTATTAGAAAACATTTTCAAAGCATTTATTTGATAAAAGATTAATGTTTAGGATAGAACACAGACAGTAGGAATGAACACTGGAGAGGGGCTAATATTTCTTCAGTAAGCATATGTGAGGAAGTTCAGCCACAACAACCAGTACAGAAGTGCAATCAAACTGCAAGGTCCCTCTCTCCTCCCAAAGGATGGTTCTTATCAAAAGCAGACATAACTGTGACTGAGGACGGGGTAAAACTGAGACCCTTGCTCAATGAGAGAATTAAACGGAATAGTCCATGTGGAAAACAGCATGGAGTGGCTGAATGAGTGAAATGGAGAACTTTCCTGATACATCAGTTCTACTTTTATTATATCTATAAACGAACTGAAAACCGATGTTTGTAATGTTGATAGTGATATGATTTATAAAAGACAAAAGACAGAAGCAACCCAGGTGTCTACTAGAAAAAGTAATACATAAACAAAACATGTTAGATACAGATAATGGGACCTTATACAGCCACAAGAGAGGAATTCTAATACCTGCTACCTTATGGACAATCTTTAGACATGCAGTTAAAGTGGAATAACTGGGACATTAAGGGACAAATATTGTAAAAATCCAACTACTTGTGATACATAGAATAGAAAAACTCCTGGGGACTGACAGAAAGGAGATTGCTAAGAGGCAGAAAGCCTAGAAGTGGGAGAAAACAAAGAGTTAATTTTGAGTTTATAGCAACAGTCTGTGAGGATGGGCAATTCTTGAAAACACTGTTGTTAATAGTTAAACAACACTGGAAGTAAACTCAACACCTCTCAGTTGTATGGTTTAAAATGGTACCGTGGTAAATTTTATGTTATATATGTTTTAGCACAACTTTTTAAAATCCAACCTTTGACATACTCCTTGTATTTTTGAACTATATGAGTTCTGCTTTTGTGGCTAGTTATTAATGATGGTGGCTGCTTGACCAGACCTTTCTCAAGCAAACAGTAAAGGAAATCCTCGTTTGTAATTGGCAAGGTAATTGCTAAACTCTCATTTCCTCAAAGACCTTCTCAAGCACCAACCCCCTCACACCCACTGGATTCCCCATAAAGTGAAGTTGGTGCCTACTTTGCTTTGAAATGGTTTCCAGAAAATTAGCTCAACAAATTCTTTGGTAACCTGATTCAGTCATGTGTTAAGCTGAATGAGATTCATTCCCAGACCTTAACAACAAAATGACTGCTGAAATAAAGCCAGTTACACATCCTTAAAATTTTCCCGCATGCAGGAATCATGACTGCAGAATATATATATACCAAGTGTGTGAGATATATATATATCAAGTGTGTAATAGCATTGTGTCTGTAAAACACACACACCTTCATGTTAAAATGTTTTATTGCCAGAGATGCTAATGGCCATGTGAGCATTTGGAGACAGAGAGACAAAGCCCTTATACAGCGATGGGTCCTGCCTTTATGTTGATAGGTTCCAGCTGCTTGGAATGGCAGGCACTTGTCTTAGTTGCTCTTCTCATCCTTATGGCAAAATACCTGAGAAAGCACCTAAGTAAGAAGAGCTAATTTCAGCTCACAGTTCGATGGTGCAGACCAGCATGATGGAGAAGCCATGACATCAGGAGCATGAAGTACCTAGTCACATTGCTTCTGCAGTCAGGAAGCAGAAAGAGATGAACACTGGTTCTCTCTCTCTCTCTCTCTCTCTCTCTCTCTCTCTCTTTCTCTCTCTCTTATTTATAAGAGGCTTATAATGTAGCCTGGGACCCCAACCAATGCAATGATGCTGCCCACATTTAAATTAGCTCTTCCTACCTCAGGAATACAATACACACATTCAGCTCTACAAAGTAACGTAATTAGAAGGCTATTTGACTATGAAATATATGTAGAAAAATTAAGGATAAGCTACAGAATGTATCTGTAATCTAAAAGTGACATTTGATTTTTTTATATGTGAATGTTAAGACACAAAAAAATCCTGTATTGTTACTTAGACACTGAGAAAATGTGTAACTCTGTTGAAAAAAAGCTGCTAGTTGGTCCCTGGCTGCTCAGCCCCGAAATAATCACATAGATTCTATATTAATTAAATCACTGCTTATCCCATTAGCTCTAGCTTCTTATTGGCTAGCTCTTACATATTAATTTAACCCATGTTTAGTAATCTGTGTATAGCCCGTGGCTGTGATTTACCAGGTAAAGTTCCATCCGGCTCCAGCAGGGTTACTTGACTTGTCTCTAAACTCCGCCTTTCTTCTCCCAGCATTCAGCCTAGTTTTCCCAGCCTAGCTCTGTTCTACCCTATCAGGCCAAGCCAGTTTCTTTATTCACCAATGGCAATCACAACATACTGAAAGAAATCCCACATCATAACTCTATTTGTAATTTTTAACAATTTGAATATAGATTTTATCCATTCACATGCCCTATAATCATATGCTTTATAGCATCTAAAATGAACTTGTAAAAATAGTAAGCCAAGTGTGGTGATAATCTAAGCCAGTAATCACCCAGCAAAGAAGATGTTGCATCAGGAAGATCATGAGTTTAAGGTCAGAATAGGCTGCATAGTAAGATCCTGTCTAAAAAAGAAAAATAAATAAATAAATGAAAGTCTTTGCTGAAAAAGAAGGTATTTCTGAAAGCCATCCATTAATATTCCCAACTCAACATAAAGAAAATTGAGTTTTATAAAAGCATAAATTTTAGAAAATTAAAATTTATGTAAATATAAATGCCAACTTCACATGCATACATAGCAAAGATTATCTTTAAATTAATGTTAATTAATTTGTTACATAAGACTAAACTTGTTTTTAAGGTAGTTTTCCAGATCGTGTGGATTGTTTGTTCACACAAACCACAAACGTTTCACCTGGCCTATGGCAGATTTTCAGGCGAGTTGAATGAGTGAGCTAATAACATTTTCAGAACGATTATCTTCAGAACTGGGGCTGAAGAGATGGCTCCGTGGTTAAGAATGCATTCGGCCCTTGCAGAGGACCTGTGTTCCGGTCCCAGTGCCACGTCAGGCAGCAGCTAACAACTACGTGTAATTCCGCAGCAGGGAATCTAATACCCTCTTCTGGAACCCTCTGGCAACTGCACTCACACGTGTGTGGGTGGATATAAGCACACATACACACACAGACACACACGTGCACTATTAAAAATAAAAAGAATTCTCTTCAGAGGAGTGGGATTGGAGAAATGGCTCATCAGGTGATAGTGCTTGCCACTAAGCTGACGACCTGAGTTCGTTTCCCAGGACCCACAACATGGAAGGAGAGAACTAACTCCTGAAAGTTGTCCTCGCATCTTCAGGTACATGGCACGCCATGCCATTCTGCATTAATATGATAAATACGTAAACATGACCAAAATGAAAACGTTTAAGACAAACGTGGTAATATACCCATAAGCTAGTATAGTCAACTTTTATTGGTCTAGAATGTTCTTTGAATTATTACCCACAAGTGTTCTGGTTTCACTTCCAAGGGAACTGAGCCAGTTTTGGTTTGAAAGGGAGTTGTCTGTAGGTCAAGACCACCACATGTGACTGACAGGATGGATACACACAGGAGTAGAATGTCAGGTTCATGAACTGAGGCCTTCTGTATGGTCCTGGAGCATTTTTAGAGGGTGACCAGCTTTGTCCCTGTGTGCTCATGGGTCTATGCCTTTGTTTCTCTGTCTCCTCCCATCCTGACTTTGCTCCCTCCCTGTTTGGACCACATGACTACACAGCTGGAAAGAGGGATGGGAAGCAGACTGCCAGGAAGCTGAAGGAAAAGTAAACACACCCTCCTGTAATGAAGCAAACCTCACAACAAAAGAGAGTCGCTTAGTCATAGGATTTTAATTAAAAGGTAAAAAGAACTGGGCATGGTGGCACACACCTGTAGCCTTCCTAGTACTGGGGAGACGCGGGTGGAAGGATCAATGCTGGTTTGAGCACAGCCCGTACTATGTAACAAGCCCCAGGAAAGCCATACACAGTTAGAGCCTGTCTATAAATAAATAAACAAATAATAAAAATTTAAAATGGTTTAAAAAAATTTTGTTCCATGAATTACACTTTTTCTTTTTTATTAATTATTGTTTCCTCTAAAAGCATAGGGAACTAGACATAAGTTCTAGGTTTTTTGTTTGTTTGTTTGTTTGTTTTATCCAATTCAACATACTCTTAATGTTTATAAGGATGAAAAAGCTGTTGGGGCATTCACTAACAAGTCTTGCTCCACACAACCTGTGTCTGCACACTCAGCAAATGTCTCACACAGCCCATGTCCCCCTCACACAAAGTGTCTCTGCACAGCCCGTGTCCCGCACAGAGCAAGTGTCTCTGCACAGCAACTGTCTCCACACAGCTCGTGTCCCGCACAGAGCAAGTGTCTCTGCACAGCCCATGTCTGCACATAGCAAGTGTCTCACACATCAAGTGTCTCCGCACAGCCCGTGTCCCCCACACAGCAAGTGTCTCCACACAGTCCGTGTCAGTACACAGCAAGTGTCTCTGTATAGCTCGTGTCCTGCACAGAGCAAGCTGCTTCTTCCCTCTTTCGGTGTTTGTGCCTTAGGGTAAAGGCCACTCAGTGAGTGGAGTGCTAACTGGACAGCTGAGGCTGCAGCACTGACACACTGGAAATGTAAACATCAACTTGCAGAAAGAAAAGGCACCAAAAAAATAAATTTTTATAAAAACAGATGGTATTAGTTGAGTCGTAGATGCATTTTTATGTGTCTCAACAATTAAGTTTATATGGAGTTGACGTTTAATGAAGACATAATTATCACACAGCTCCAGGTTTTATTTGGAGTAAAATACTATATAGTCTAGCACTGATCTGGCATTCACACTTTACAGCAGAAATTAAGCTTTTTATTAGGACACAAAACCTTAATACCAACAACTATAAAAGCTATGAAAATTACAGTATAGTTTAATAATATAGGTTTTAATTACATAGTATAGAACTATCAATAATATAGCATAATTTCTTGTAATGTCTCTTAAATACCATAGACTTGAACTTTATAAACATCTATACACTCAGTTAGGTTAGAGATTCAAGGCTTTTCCTGCCTTACATGACCTGTTGTCCATGCCTTCATTGTCTGTATCAAGGATTGCCAACACCCGCAGACATCAGGCGTATTCATGTTCAACTGTCAGATACAAAGTGCAGGTTAAGTTCATGGTATACTTCAGAGTGTGCTGAGTGCCATTCACTGTATTTTTACAAATTAAAGATATATATACATTGATATAATGAGTTTCACATTCACGGATATTGTAAATTAGTCACTTGGTGATAGGCTTCTCTTACTTTTAAAAGATAATATAGTATGCATTTTATGTTAGAAATATTGGTGGAGATAGAGGTGTGGCTAACCATGTCACTCTCAGGCTTTCTCTTACAAGTTTGACAAGTTAATGAGGAACCAAGAAAAGTAAATATATAATCAAATGCTTTCAATAACAAAAAGTGCAATCTAGGGGTTTGGTTTAGTGACAGATGGCTTATATGGTACTGGTGAGCTGGAGAGACTGTGTTTAATCCTCAGCAATGCAAAATAAAAGGACCCTGTGTTGGGTGGATGGCACATACTTGTAATTCTAGCATTGGGGAGGTGGAGGCAGGAGGGTGGGGAGAGTTCATATAAGCTGAGTTACACAGTGAGTTTAGAACAGCCTGGGCTACATACTGAGACCCTGACTCCAAAATAAAACATGAAAAGGAAAGAAAGAAACAAAGTATCATAGTCTGGATTATTTGAAAACTCATAGAAGTTCTGTTCAAATGGAAGAACGAATTCTCACACTCACTTTCATCTAATTATTTAACAGATCATTCACAATTGACTACAAGAGTAACTGATTAAAAAGAACTAGTGGCCAGGTTCTCATATGTAAGCTCTTACATGGTATGTCTCAGAAACGCTAGGTATAAACTATTATTCCCAGAGAGTGGGCAGGGATGGGGGATAGTCCCATTAAAGGCTTAGCATCCATTAAGGTGTTATTGTTTGCCAAACACTGTGTTGAGAGTGCTCCAAATCCTACAATCACCCAACACGGTTACAGGAGTAATTATATTGTGTTCATCTATTCAAGGATAACACTCAAGGAACCAGCCCCAGATGGCAGAGAGGGCAAGGAAGGCTTAATAATTTTAAGTAGACTTGTTCTGCAGTGTGATAACCATGGGACACTTTGGAACAAAGTGCACATAGGCCTTGGTGCAGAGGCCAGGACCACTCAGATTATCCATGTATTCATAAGCTTCTTGTTTCCATGGATCAAGGAGGAGATGGTGACGTGAGTCGTTGCCCTGCACACATAACCAACCCTCTCACAACCCTCTCGGAACCGAGCCCCTCTGCTGTGGCTACGACATCTGTGCCAGCACAGCATGTGCGGAGCTCATGACTGCATCATGATCATAAGGCACAAAGATATTTATGACCTAGTGCAAGATAACACACCTTTCCCACCGCGCTAAGTTCAAGCTGTCATTTTCAATATAGATTGGACTTGATTTTTTTATGACGGCATCAAATTCCTTAAATATCGCCTATTTACACTTTGTCTTCAGTTTATGGTTTCCATTATAAACTTTATCTAGGAATCACAGTGCACCTTGTCTCCATTACACTCAACACGGAAGCCCTGCCCTGCATACCAGCCTGAGAGGCCTTTATGAAGCCCTGCTGTGCTGGTCTCAGCTGAAGTTCCCTGTTTTCTGTGATTTTTTGGTTTTTGGTTTTTTACACAATGAGTTGAGTAGAGGTCACTGTAGTAGGGCAAAAAAAACAATATATTTCTAAGGCTAAAAATGCAGCTCATTGGTAGAGCGCGAAAATAGTGTGCCCAGTGCACTGGTTCAATCCTCACTGCTGAAAACAACACACACACACACACACACACACACACACACACACACACACGGGGTGGTGGAGGAGAGTAATTAGATGTTTTGAAGGAGACTCTAAAGCTACAGTTTTCAGATTTTCAAGCAAACTCTAAAGTCTATTCAATATCTTCAGGGTTTTTTTTTAAATAATTTCAGTTAATTAAGCCATATTAAGCCATAAAATGTTCTTTGATGTACATGTGATAAAAATCTCATTCCTAAACTAGCTCACGGTTCCCACTACTTTACTAAGGCAAAAACTGGGATAGACATGACTAAAATCAACGACTAAGGTTTCTAGAAGCCTGGAAGAGGCAATCTGGAAGAATACGACTTTGCTTAAATTTAGCACCATTTATATGTGTCTACAGTTTGGAAGTGGTTAATTCTATATGGTGCAACCGCTTACGCCTGGAAAGACTTTACAATCAAGAGGACTTACTCTTAACATTTGCTGCTTAAAACGGAGAGGTTTCAAAGGCTGAGAAAGGCCTGAGCTTGGTTAAGTGGTTGAAGTAAATATAGGAGAGAGTCACTAGGATGTTTTTAAAAAGGCCCAGTACTGGCGTGATACTCCCCAGGGATACGATTATGCTGAGTCTGAGGAAAAAGAAGGGGATATCCTGCAGCAGGACCCCCAGGGAGCTGAGAAGAGGGTTCTTAGGTGTGAAGATCATTCGAAGGAGAGATATAAAACTGAATATGTAGACCGGGTACACCCAGCCTGACTGGTACACGGCTGGGAGCCCAGCCACACGCATCATTTCTATAGTGTCCGACCATGTGAGGAAGCTTCGCAGGAACAGCTCGGACCGGACATCTCGGTGAGACATCGTCCTCCGGATCCCAGAGTCAAAGGAGGGCTCTATGGGCCCCGCCAACGCAGCCATGTTGGTGGGAGGTAAGGACATCATGGTGGGCTTGGCTGTCTGGGCAGGTGCAGAGTTCTCATCACCACGTCCCACCTGTTCTGTCACGGTTTTTATCTGCTGCAAAGATGTTATGTGGTTGTCTTTGTCTTCATTACCTGAAAAACATCGATTAATTTGCATTTTAAGTACCTCTTTACTCTAAAAATGTTTAATTTACTTGTTACTAAACAGAGTTTGATGGCAACCCTATAATCCCAGTATGGGAAGGAGGACATGGAGGCTGGAGGATGGCAAACTGTAGGCTAATCTAGGGTACATAGCAAGACCCTGTCTCAAAAACAGACAATGTAGCAGATAGAAAAATGATATCAAAAACAATGTTTTTGATAGATAGGTAGATGATAAATTATTGATAGAAGACAGACAGACAGACAGACAGGCAAACAGATAAGGCAATATTGATCAGTTAGTAAAAACCCTTGTCAGGCAACATTAATGACCTAAGTTTAATGCCCAGAATTGACTACCAAAAGTTCCCTGACCTCCAAATGCCCATCTTGGCAAAAGCATGCCTGCATAGCAGAGATAATTCGTCCTGTTCCGCCAGAGGGTCCAAGGAACCTGAGTTTGGTTCCCAGAACCCATGTCTGGTGGTTCACCATATCAGCACCTGTATCTCAAGGGAGCCTCCAATCCTCCATTCTGCATCCACACATGCACATACATCCATACAACTACACATACGAACATGTAACGAAAACAAATCTCTTAAATTTTAATGCTTAAAAGTCTAAATTTTGACATGGGAAAAATAATAACTGAGTGACATACTAAAAAAATCAGAGATTCTTGGCACTGTGGCATTTTTTTTCTGGATATGGAACCTAAGTTATTTTCACATTTTGACAGAACAGGGCATTATTGATTAGTTATTGGATCCTTGAAACAAATGAAGAAATGACTACCAGTCTGTTTTACAGCCCTAGAATCTGAAGCCCATGAGGCTAAATGATGCTCAGATTCAAACTCAGTGGCAGAGCTGGAGTCTCTGCCTGAATTGCTCAACTCCAAATGACAGACTTTTAACGTCATGGCTGCTATTGTCAAGGTAGAAGCAAGACAGTGTGCGCTAATTAGAAAAGACACAAGTAGGAAAACCAAGTGAATTGACAAGCTTACCAGTTCAAGACTGTCACTCTGTAAGATGAAACAGGCTCTCAAGACTGACTCAACCTTAATTCCCCAGCATGGAAGTTCAGTGCTAAGAAGGAATCTGTTTGACCCACAGAGAATCATGCAAATAATTCAACTGTTCTTTCCCAGGAGTTTAAGAAGCAGCCAACAGGATTGGTCAGCTGAACCATCATGTTTGGGTCATGAGACTGTATGCTAATCAATCCATATACCTGTCAGATAAATGGGAAGATACCTGATCACTGCCACATTCTCTCTGTGTGTGTGTATACAGATGAACGTGTGTATGCAAGGATGTATGCATGCGGATGAGAGCAGTGAACTCTGAATATTGTTCCTCCAGTGATGCCCACCTTGGTTTATGGTACTAGACCTCTTGCTGAGAACAGGGTTGGACTGTCTAGGCAGAAATATCCAGAAAATCTACCTGTCTCCATCTCCCCAGTGTTAGGTTGACAATACAATACCAATACAATAGCCAATATTTTTTGCATTTCTTTGAGAGTTGTTTATTTTATTTGCACAGGTATGCTGCCTACGTGTGTGTCTCTACCACACAGGTATCTGGTGCCTACAGAGGCCAGAAGAGGACATTAGACCTCTTGCAACTGGAGTTACGGGTGACTATGATCCACCATGTGGGTGCTAAGAGCCAAAGCCCTGTCCTCTGGAAGAGCAGCCAGTGCTCTCACCTGCTGAGCCATCCCTCTAGTCCCGTGTTCAGACTGTGTGTGGGTTCTGGGGGTTGACTTGGGTACTCACACGTGCTTGCAAGTCTGTCCCTGGCTGTACTACTTCCTGAGCCCTACAGTACACCATTTGCCAAACACCTATACACTTAAACAGCATTTTGTTGTTGCTAAGATTTAATCAGCCTGGCAAAGTTTACTGAGAAAACATCCTGAGAGGTCCTGTTACCTCAGAAGACAGAAGGTAAAGGGAGTGTTAGGGAGGAAGAACTGAAAGTCAAAGAGAGAGTGTCAAGAAGAACTTCTTGGACTCAACGTGACAACATTGTGAAAGAAGTAAATCTTGATTCATGACTAAGACACTTAGTTACTCAGTTAAGAGTATTTATTAAGTATTCAATAAACTGTGATTTTTCGAACTAAGAATTTTTATAAACTACAAAGATTAAATTTTTTTCCTTTTGTTTATATGTGTATGTGACTAGATGCAGTATGTGCATATGTGTATGAGTGTGCATGCGCGAGCGTGTGTGTTTGTGTGTGTGTACATATAGAAGCCAGAGGTCAACTTTAGGGGCCTTCCACAATTCACTTTCTTTCTCTCTTTTTTTAAAAAAATAAAATGTAATTTTTTCCTTTGTTCAAAATACTTTTTTCTTATGCAATATATCTTTATTACAGTTTCCTCTCCTTCTATTTTTCCCAGTTCCTTCCTACTTCTCCATTCAGATCTACTCCCTTTCTGTCTCTCATTAGAAAAAAAAAAACCAGGATTTTCCAAGATAATAACAAAATATAATGTAATAAAATAAAACAAATTATTGGACAGGACAAACAGAAGGAAAAGAGTTTGGGAGAAGATAAAAGAACTAGAGACACACTCAGGGGTCCCACAATAACACCGAACTGGAAACCATAATAGATACACAGAGGGCCTGGTGCACACTCATGCAGGCCCTGTGCGTGTTGCTTTTGGTCTCTGTGAGTTCACATGAGTTCTGTCTTGATATCCTCCATCACCTCTGACTCTTATACTTTTTCAACCTTGTCTTCTGGGGGTTCCTTGAACCCTGCGGGTAGGGATTAGATGGAGACTTTCCATTTAGGGCTGAGTGTTCCAAGGTCTCTCGCTCTCTGCATAATATCTGGATGTATTCTTTGTATTCTCTTTGTATTCTCTGAGTGTGGCTGAGCAACAGGGTAGATAGCACAGGAACTTAGGAAAAGAAGAAGCAACAAAATAACTCCTAGAGACATTCACTTATGCTCATAGATCAGTGTCTTCCACTTTCTTTTTTTTAATTTTTAATTTAAAAATTTTCAGACAATTTATCTTGACTACATTCTTTCATTTCCCCAAACTTCTCCCAGATCTCCCCCCTCCACCTTGCTACCCACCTAACTTGATATTTGTTCCCTCTCTTTGATTTTTTTGTTCACAAAAAGTAAACAACTAATTTTCATGTCTCACTGTTTTTCCTGTGCATGGTGTACTCTGGTCATCCGAATTTTATGATCAGTTTTCATGTTATTGACGTCCAGCCTTAGTAACTTATATTTATAACAATTTTACTTATTATTGCTACCACCAGTTTTTTTTTTTTTTTAGAAAAGGTCTCTCACTGAACCTAGAGCTCATTGGTTTGCTAAGGCTGGTTGATCACAAATTTCAGATCTGTCCTTCTCCAAACCCCTCTCTGTACCTACCTCAGCAACCCGGTGCCTGATTTTTCTGCTTGGGTGCTAGAGATCCATAAGAAAACGGATCTAGTACTTGTCTGTAACCCGTAGGTACCTCTTTACCCAAATTAGAAGCCACAGTGGCCTGAATAGGTAGTATTTCACAAACAATACTAAGAAAATGTGACATTTCATTACTTATTACTGCTTTAAAATCTGTAAAATTCTCTCTTTAAACTCAGATGTTCACTTCTATATTTCAGTAACTTTTAAAGAATTCAGTAGACTGTTGAAGAGATAGCTCAGCTGGTGGAGTACTTGCTGTGAAAGCATGCCAACCTGGGTTTGGTACCAGAAGTCACATTTTAAAAAAAAATTCTGGATGTGGATAGATGGAGACAGGCAGCAAGGATATAATGGGTAGCCAGCCAATCAAAATTATCAAGGACTAAACCTGTCGGGAATCTTGTTTCAAAAACAGAGGGAGCTCAGGTTAACTTCTGAGCTCTCTATGTATATGCTGCGGCGTAACAGTTTCCTCCAAGATTGAAACAGACCCTCCTGTAGAGAAGCTCTTTAAGAAGGGAAGCAAAGAACTCAAAACAGCTTTAGGAAGTCCCTGAAGCTGATCAGATTCACTAGGCCCCTCCCTGCCGGAGGAAACAAAGTTGAGAGTCCCTCTCAGACTAAGGAAGCTGAGCCGCAAAGAAGACTCTGTAGTCAGACCAAGCTACCTGGAAGAGATTTAGACCAATTGAGGCACCCAGGAAAGATACTCTTCCAACGTGTTGAGCCGCCTGGAGGCTGTGCAGTATGCTCCAGGTTCCCAACTTTTGTGAGCTGTTACCCATACTAGGTTGGGCTTTGGTGATACAGTTGTCTTTGAGTCATTTCTGCTTCTGTAAGTAGCCACTCAACCATATTTCTGTAAGTAACCCCAGTTAAATTCATTGGTTCACCAAGTTGGACTTTGGTGGTATCTGTACTTTGTTCTATTGTGGGTTCCCTATCTGAAGTGAATAGATTTGTGTGCTACATCTTCCCTAAAAAGTATTTTATTTTTCATATATATATGCGTGTGTGTGTGTGTGTGTACATGAAAGAAAGAAGTCAAGAGAAATTTTATTTCTTAGAGTATGCAATGGCATAGAGAATTCTCCTTTGCTCCACTTAGAAGACAAAGTTGTTTGTATGAACAACTAAATCTTGAAAGTTGTAAAAAGAAAGGGAGGTGCAAAACAAAATTACTGGGATATATATTACAAGAAAGCAGAAGGGGGTCCCTATTTGAGAGGATGGAGGGGACCAGCAAGAGAGGGGAAGGGAGGACAGAGTAAGCCAAGGGGATATCTATGCACTGAATATGACTGCAGCACATTAGTATAAAGGAAAAAGGGGGGAAACTAAAACCCTTTTGCCAACATTAAGAACATCGTGCACATTGCCAGCCTGACAAACGATTGCAAACTCAGCTTGTTTCAAGGCCAGGAAGTGGCACCGTAAGAAGTGATACATTAACCCGTCATAAATGGTCGCTGAGAGTTGCGCTATCTCAGAAGAGCTGTTGGTCAGAACACCGAGTACTCAGCTAG